GGCATGGGGGAAGAGGGTCCCCCAGCTCCTCCTGAGCTGGCCATCACCCACAATAGACTCCCACATGCACATATACCCCACCCCCACACATGCACATACACACTGTACGTTTATACCTTCACATACACAAGTCTTACACAGACCACACACCATACCATACATACAGGCTCACACACAAACCACTCACATCATAATACAGGCATGTACAGTACACTACATTACACACACACACACACACAGACACACACAAACGGACACGGACACAGACACACACACAGACACACACACAGACACACACACACAGACACACACACACAGACACACACACAGACACAGACACACACACACAGACACACACACAGACACACACACACAGACACACAGACACACACACACAGACACACACACACGATCTTGGAGATAAAGTGCCTGTCTAGAATATTAGAGATGAACAAAAAGAAACAACTCTTCCCTTTGCCTGGAACCTTGATAAAACGTCTTGCAGTTTGTAATCTAAATGTACACAGTCTGAGTTTTCACACTGAAAGCCTACTGCAGTGTAGAGCCTCCAGTCGCCCATCAAAAGCAGTTGAAATGCTTTCTGGAAAAATCCTATATTCACTCAGGTTTTAGAGAATTCTCACAAAGTTCAAAGGAAAATAACCAGCTGCCTATTAAAGAATTAAAAAACCACCAACCACACAAGGAGACAATGCACCGAGATCAGGAGTCAGCAGAAATAATGGGGTCAGATTTTGGACAGTGGCAGGTAGTGGGATGTGAGGCACCAAGCACAGAATAGCTGCTTGGGATACACGCCAACCAGAGAGTCGGATATGTAGAAAAGACTCAGTCCATTCTCCTAAAGATGAAAACTCTGATGTTTGTAATTTAAGTCAAGGAGGAAGGGTCCAGGGTGATTAGGTAGATGTCAGAAGGAATAGTGATGAGCAAGGATGAGACTCTGAAGAAGGTAGCCTAGCTCTGCGTAAAGAAGGGCAACAACTCAGAATGATTCTGGGCTCTAGAGATGGTGCGAGATTGGCACAGACACCTTGTTGGCATTAGGGAGAGATGGGCATAGCTAATACTGAAAGGTTACATGGTCCTTTCCAGTCATGAGGAAGGACAGAGGATGGCTAAGCCTTAAGCAGGATAAGCATGAAGGTGTGGGGCAGATGGCAGGGGGCCGCTGTGGCTGCCCTTTCAGAGAGCATCAGTGAGCTCTCTGGGATGGATTTGTTTGAAGGGACATGTGTGGCCCCAGACCCAGGGGTCTCCCTTAGCTCCTGCCTTCATATGGGGAGAGCATATTCCTCAGGTGGCTTCAGAGGGGCAAATCTTGCCACTGCAGTGTGCAAGGACACTTGAGTGTGCATTCAGACCCCTTTGAAGCAGGGCTGTCAAAGAACTTCCTTTAGCTTCAGTTGTATAGTGTCACCTCTCTGAGGCTACATCCTTCTCGTGAGTTCCCACATCCATCAACATATCAGCAGACCAGACCTGGACCTCTCCTAAGGTTTGTAACATCATTCCATGATGCTTGAGTGGGCAAGTCTGTGGGTCACTGGCGGTCTCTGGCCAAGAGCTTAAGAGCAGCTGTGCAACCCAGATCCCTTGATCAGCCTCTCAGTGTGGCCAACAGTGTCACACATCGGAGCCAGCAAAGGCCCAAGAACCCTCTAGCTTTGTTCTCCTTTCCTCAAAGGGAGAGGGGTTGGAGGTATCCCTCATGTCACAGGCTGCTGTAACCAAGGAAAATGGATGGTGAGGCCTCTACCAGGAGGGATTGCATGAAGCCAGCTTCCCCCTTCCTGATCCCTGCAGCCCACCTACCACCACCAGCAGCTGCAGACACCAAATTAGACAGGTAGAAGTAGGGACAGGGTGTGGACACCTCTTTCTCAGACTAGTGACATACCTCCCGCAGCACCAGCTTGCTCTGTAGGCGGAGCAAGTTGTGTGTTGTCATGGCCAGCTCCCTGGCCAGTGTGTCATTGGCCTTTTGCATGTGCTCCAGTTGTCCCCGCAGGAGAGTGTTCACTTGGGAAAGGCCCTTGCTCCTAGATGGACAAAAGCCACAGCTTCATGTGTGCTGACTTCTTAGAGGCACAGAGAGTCCAGGGACCTAAACCAAGGGGTCTAAATGGTGCCCAAGGCCCCTGACCTCCACTCCAGTGCACAGCCCCAGCTCTGCTCCCAAGCAGCATTGAGCAGCCTGCAATGAACCCCATGTGGAGCCAACATCAGGAGGACTCATCCAGGACCAGCTCAGCATCATCCTTCCCTCCTGAGAATCCTCTTCTCCCAAACTCTTCCCACCACTAGCCACTCCTCTACCTTCAAGAGGAAAAAGAAATTTGCAGGGTACAGGAGGCTCAAAGGGAGCCTTGGAGCGGCAGGCCGGCAGGAGCTGAGCACCTCTGAAAGCTAGGTGGGAGATGCCAGCCATCCTGATGAGCTTTGTAGGCATCAAGCTTCCCTGGGGCTCTTCTCCTCAAAATGGGTTTTCAAAAATGCTTTTCAGCATTTTCTTCCTCTGTCAGATTCCCAGAGGATAAGCCAACCACAGGATGTTAGTGATGGCGAGGTCAGTTCAAGTGAGGCTCTAGGGCTGTTTCTGGGACTGGGGTGTGGTGCACTCTTGCCAAGTATGAACAAAAAGGCCTGTTGACATCAGAGAGGCTAGAAGCCAAAAGTTCTGGGGTTGTGGTCAGGGTGGTTAAGGAGAGCCAGAGAAGGGCACCCAGTATTGTATGTGCCAATGGCACAGGGTTGACTGTGGTAACCCACCAACAGCGGTGGCTAGGCAGCACCCTGACCAGACATCCTGGCATCAGACTCAGGGGGTGGGGTCAGGAAGCCCTTGGCAATGGCTGTGCCTTGGGAGGCTGCCCATAGGCCCAAACTTATCCCTGGGGGCAGTGAGTAGATTCCCCCTCAGATGCTCCAGGCATGACATGGATGCTCCCATTTCCAAGGTATGGAAATATATGCTGAGGAGTATGGGCAGAGGACAACGCTATCTCTGATGCCAGCTCTCACTTGCAGATGGGCTCTGAGTGTCCTGACCCCAACTCTGGGACATTGCAGCTTCAAGCCTGTCTGATATCTTTGCTTCCTGCATGCAGGGGAATCACTACTGAGGAGACTAGGAAGAGCCCCACTCACCCTGCAGTGATGAGAGAGCTCTCAAGTCTGTATTGTCCCCTGGCTTGTGACACAGGGACACTCTGCAGTCTGCCCTTTCTCTCCCTTCTCACTCACCCTGAGAAATTATATATGAGGAATGGGAGCGGTCTCCAATGGAAAATAAGGGAGAGTTGAATGGCAGCCAGTTCTGCTTGCTACTGGCCCTTCCTTCCCAGGGTCCTCTCCCTCGACCAGTTTTCACTGGTAACTCAGAATTGGTTAGTTGGCAAAGGCTGTGAGGCGTAGTGGGGTCTGCCCTCTCTGGGATGATGACTGCGCTCCCTGCACCCCGACAGCCTGCGCATTGGGCCTCACCTCTGCTGTGAGGCCTCCAGCCGGCTGAGAGCCTCCTCCAAGTCCATGCTATGCTCCATCTCTGACTTCCGAAGCCGGGCCTCAGCGGTATCCAGGCGGGCCTGCAGCTAGGAAGGAGTGTGAGCCCACCGGGTCCACCTCAGCCTGCTCAGCCAGGTGGGACATCTTTGACATAAAGCCCACTCTGGGCAGAGGTAGGATACAGGGCCTCCCAGGATCCTGTTCACACCCGCCTCTCTGTCCAGTTCCTGTGGCCCACAGAAGAGACCGAGGGGAAGCATGTTGGATGAGTGAATGATTGGATTCTGTTGGGTCTGGGAATGTTAAGGGAGTGGTGATCCCAGCAGGAGGCAGGGATCTGGAGGTCCCTGGAGATGCTTCATTTACAGGTTAGTAAACTGAGGTCCTGGTGGCCCCAGTGGCTGGGGCCGTCCAGAAGTCAGTCACAACCAGGCAAGGTAGACAGCTGAAAAGCAGGCTCTTTCATGTCTCCATGGGGCATGAATCTGGACCCCTCTGGCCTGGCCTATTTCCCAAGCTGCACCTCCCCTCTCACCCCTCATCCTTAGCAGATAGGAGCATAATACCATGGGTGCCAAGTCCCCTTGTTACCAACACAGAGCATATTCCCAAGGGGTTAGGAAAGAAGGCTGGGGCCAACGTGGAATTCAGGAAGACATACCCAAGGCCTACTGCTCAGAGCCACTAAGCCATTACTACAGTGGGGGATGTGAACCCAGAGCCTAGGAAGTCATGGGAAGGAGGAAATCTTATAAGGAAGGCACAAAGAACAGGGGGAATGGGAATGGGATACAGGAGTGTCTGATTGGCCGAAGACCTGCTTCTCAGCCACCAGCAATGTGACAGTTGGGGTCAGACAGCTCCAATGATAAAGGATTGCAGTGCTACCTGGGGAGGTGATCTTGGGCACCAAGATCCTCACCCTGTCCCACCTGTGTGCTGGGGAGTAAGTCGGGCCAGGGTCTCTGGGCCCTCTCATCCAGCTGGCTGTGAGCTGGGCTCTGACTCACAGCTTATTAGTCTATTAATCTTTGGAAGGCCTTCTGCGGCTTCTATTCCCTGTAGTCCATTCCCAGCATCTCCCGCCCTGTGCTAGGAAGATCCCTAGCCCCAGAATGCCCCATGGAAGAGGATCTCAGAAGAGCAGGCTTGTGGAGCTCCTCAGCCATTGTAAGGGTTCCTCAGGTCTTTGGGAGGCGGCTAAAGAAAACAGCATTTCCCACATAGGGTAGAATGGCAGAAAGAGCATCAGAGAGCCAGGTTGTGGGCACCTTAGGGATAGTATGATCGTACGAGGAAGTCTTCTAAGACCCTCATATAGGCAAAGCAAGGCCAGGGTGCCATAGGAAGAGCAGATGTGGGCCAGGATGTGGTTGTATGACCTTAGAGCAGTGGTTCTCAACCTTCCCAATGCTGTGACCCTTTAGTTCAGTTCCTCATGTTGTGGTGACTCCCACCATAAAATTATTTTGTTGCTCCTTCATAACTGTAATTTTGCCACTGTTATGAACCATAATATAAATATGATATACAGACTATCTGTGACCCTGAGGGGTTTGGGACGTGCACAGGTTGAGAACCACTTCCTTAGGGGAACACTGGCCACAGCTGAGCCTTAGTTTCCTCATCTGTGCCACTCCACAGAGCTCAGACTGGGTCCATAGATGGCCTGGGGGTTGAACCTGGGGGATCAGAGGTCCCCACTGCATGAACTGTTCTCCCTTATCTTATACCAGTTGTGTCCAGTTCTGCCTCTGAAGCTCTCATGACTTGGAGAGGATAATGCATGAAAAGTGCTCTGGCCTGGAAAACACCTTCAAATTTCTGCCTGAGTTTCTCTAGCTTCATTGAGAAGGCATTCCCTAGCCCACAGACATCCCGAGTAACTTCTGGCTGAAGACCTTGGAGGTCACCCTTCCATTCTCCCATCCCGCAGCCTGGCTGGTGACCAGAGGCAGTATCGCATGTGAGAAGGGGTGGGGGAGGGGCTGGCACCACAGGCTCTGCCTGGGGTCTGGGGCCAGTCCTGCCTGGTTTTGCCCTCTGTTTGGAAGCTGGCTTTGTGATTATAACTGGCAAAGCCCTGGACCAGTGGGTCATCTGTAACAGAAGTTTTGGGTTCTTTGTAAACTCAGTTTTGTTATGTAAGTATGTTTTTGTTTTAATCCCAGGTGTGGGATTTTAGTTGGGCTATAGTTTATTAACACCTGTTAGTTGTCATGTATGGGGCGTGATCTTTGCCAGCTGGTAATGGCCTTCCATGTGCAGCAAGGAAAAGGCCATGTTCTAAGACTCTGTGAGTATAAGTATGAGAGCCAAGAAAGAAAAGGGGTGTGTGTGTGTGGTGGCATTTGGTGTTGGCGTGTGGCATGTAGCAGTCTGGAGAGACCAGAGACTAGAGACAGTGTGGTGGTTTAGACCAGGCAGATGGAGAGAAACACTTGGGGTGCAGTGATGTGGAGGAGGCTGCTGGCTGAGTCTTCGGTCGACAGAGATTGGTACAGAGCCCTGAAAGAACCCTGTGGCCCTAACTAGCAGGGAGAAGTAAAGGGGTCTGGGCCCCATCTCCCCACTAACCTTTTCTCTCTCCTACTTAAGGTTAGGGGTGGTGGTGGAAGTGAAGTAGAAGCCTAAACACCCCCAATAAAGTAGTTTTTTTAAAAGACCGTTACAGGTGGCTTTCTACTACAGTCGTCCCTGACTGGGCCTCTCCACATGGCGCTTAGGGCCATACATGATGAGGGCCATACATCTGAGGGTGGCATCTCCTGCTCCACCTGCTCACCTCTAGCCTCAGTTTCTCCATCTGCTGCCCAGTGTCCTAAGAGACTGGGGGCGTGATTATGGTCACCAGTCCTGGAAGGTGACTGCTAACATGGCCATGCACACTGACTGGCAGGCACCAGGGGCACACTTACCCTCTGGCTGACCATGTGACACCTGCTGGCCAGCTCCTCCCGCTCGGCCTCTGCCTGGGCCAACAGCTCCTCCAACCGGGCCAGCTCCTCTTGCAGGAGCTCACTCTCCTCCTGCACATGGGTTGTAGCAGCTGGCAGCTCCTGCAGCCCTGTGGGCAGAGCATTAGGATCAGGCCATGGCCCTACCCAAACAACTGAGAGAGGGCTTCCAGGAAAAACTTCACTCCCTCTCCTTTTACTGAGCACCCCATTACCCTTATTGTCTTTGGTAAACATCTTCAGCCCCCTCTACTCATGGCCAGGACAATCCCCTACCAAGTAAAGCATGTGTGAGGGACACTGGGTACCTGAACAGCCTCAGCCACCTCACCTGAGAGTGGCTCCTCAGCCAGGCTGCCTGACACAATCTCTCGGATACGGGCTGGCACAGGGGTGGGCAAGGCCTGCTGGCCTTCTCCACGCACAGTCAGTGCCCGGTCCTCCCTGCTGGCCATGGGGCTCAGGATGGTGTCTTCCAATTTCTGGAAAAACAAAACAAAACAACAACAAAACCATCCGAGAGCCCTGGTTCATGCAGGCCCCGAACAGCTTGCAGGCACCTCACACAAAGCCATTGTTGTCGATGCTCAGAGCCACTGTATAGTCACTTCAACATAGCAGAGAGTCTTGGAGATGGCAGAGTGGGGCCAGGCTGCTCACTCAAACCACATGCCTTAGTTTTCCCACTTGTGGAGTGGGATTGTGCCAGTCCCTGGCAGAAATGAGGAGATCAAGAAAATAGCTATCTGAGGACTCCAAGGTCATCCCAGCTCACCTCCTAGCCCTTTCTGACTCTAAGCAGGCTGGGCTGAATCCCAGCTCTTCATGTTAGCCTCCCTGGGATGCAGGCCCACAGAAAGACACACAGCCCCACCTGGAGCAGTTAGGCTCATCTGCACAGTGGAGATGGGGAGGCTCCCAAACCCCACCCAGTGATCACAGGCCTGAGGAGGAATACAGAATCTCTGTGTAAAAAGGAGTGAATCTACCCCCTGTTCTTAGAGGCCAGCCATTGTAAGAGTTGTGTTGGGCCCTGAGGGGCAAGACAGGCCCAAGATGACATAGGTCATCAGAGGCAGGCTAGGTTCTGTGAGCAGGTCTGAGGTGTCTCCCTCAGGCTACCCCAGAGTGGTGCGCTTTCCTGGTGGGTCCTGAGCTAGTGAGCTGTCAGGAGAGAAAACCACATAGACCCAAAGTGAGCATGAAACTCCTGGGGACCTGGTGAGACAGATCAGAGGGACCTGGCTGTTCCTGAGGGGATCTGACTGGGAAGAAGCCCCTTCCAACGTTATGAGTGCCAATGTCGATGATGGAGTCTTTGTTGTAAGCTCTCTGTCATGATCTCCTTCAAACCAGATTGGCTGTTAGGGGTTGGGAGACTTGATTTCCCTAGTAGTCACTCTTCCATTGTGCCTGGCTGCCTTGAGCAGAGACCCGACAAACTACCAGCCCCATTCTTGGCAACCAACTGGACTGTTATCATGGTAGCCCGGCTGCTTTGAACATTCCGTGAGCATCTCCAGGACCTGCTGGGAGCATCACAGGCTGGGGTGCTGGGGCTGCAATTCCTGTTTTACAGGACCTTGCTCCAGTGTTGGCTCTTCCAGATAACCTGCTCTGACTTAGGCAAACTTCACTTGGGACAGGACAGCCTTGTGAACTCCAGATGACAAAGCTCACTCTGTAGGTATTGTCACTCATGCTAAAATAAAGGCTGAGCACTGTCTCTAGTGACTCAACACAAAGCCTGTGGCTAGAGCAGCAAGAGGCCTGTGGTTGGCTAAGCACATGTGTGTGGTGCCATATTCCAGTTATCTAAGCAGCTTGCTGGTCCCTCTTTTCCGGTTAGTGCCGTTTCCTGTGTGCATCGCTCGAGTGTCGCAACGTCAGACCCAATAAAAAGCTCCTTTGAACAATCTATGTGTCCATTTGTGGCTTTTATCACGGGTAAGGCAGCCTGGACTGGCCGCAGGAATTGTAGACAAGACCCCGAGCTTCTGAGTCTTAGAAAAAGTAGAAGCAGCTGAATTAAAGGGTCCCAAAAAGTTACCAGGAGCCAAGAGCCCTGACACCTGACACTCCGAACTGTTATATAATGCAGGGCATGAAAGCAGAAGTGTTCAAGAGAGAGAGAGAGCGACTGCAGGCAGAAACTGAGAAATTAAGAAAGGTGACAAAGAAGCTGAAACTCAGTGGAGAGCCACAGGCAGATCATAGACTATGGGGACAGGAAGGCCCAGAAGAAATCAAAAGAGCTACTGAGGGTTTCAGAGGCAAAAAGTCTGGGTGCCTAGAACTGAGGACACTGCACCAGACCTCTGCCTCAAGCACCCAAAGCAATGAGCGTCTCACTTTGAAAGCTTGGAGCCATAAGTCTCATGATCCCAAGGCTTAGTGCTATAGGCCTCTGGCTTTGGAAATTCAGGTTGAAAGTCAATAAAACTGAATGTCACATCACAGAAATGGCTTCTTGTCTACCTACGTTTCCTCCCTGGACATGGTCTTTAGGGTCTCAGCAGGATTTAGGGTCCCTGCAGGATTTTGTTGGGGGAGGCACATGTTTTGGGGGAAGGAATGGACGTGATATAAAGACCTTGTCAGGTCCTGTGGGCAGGCTTGTTCCGTGTCAGCAGGAAACGTCCAGAGATGGGAAGGGCAGACAATAGGAGAGGATTAAGAACAGCCCACAGTGAGCCACCTGCCCCCTCCATGAGGGATGTTTGCATTGAAGGCAGTGGCTTAACAACTCCTGTGACTGATGCCAGGGCCCCACTCCCAGAGGTTTCCAGGGCAACAGCCACGGCTCTGCCTGCTTCCCTCCATAGTGGGATTCCCCAAATCCCTTTCCCATCTAGAGTCCCCTCCTGTCTCCCATCTTCCAGCTGTCACTGAAGACCTTTGCTAGTCTGGAGCTCTCCTGGCTCTGACTCCAGGTCTCTGCTTCTCCAAGCACCCACCTTTCTTACCCTCCTGACTGTAGCCAGGCCTCTTTCCACTCTGAATCCTGAATGTCTCTGTAGAGATAAGTCATGGCTTTCACCTAAATATATTGATTCCTCCTTTTTTGGAGGGGGTGAGGGGGGAGGGTGCAGGGTTTCTCCATGTAGCCTTGGTTGTCCTGGACTCACTTTGTAGACCAGGCTGGCTTCCAACTTACAGAAATCTGCTTGCCTCTGCCTCCCAGATTACAGGCATGCGCCACTGTGCCTTCCTGATTCCCCTCTTAAGCTAGCCAGACTGCAGTCACCCCAATATCCAGATTCTGCATGGCCCTGGACAGGGCCTGTCCTGGTCCCTGGAAGTCCTGCAAAGGTCAGGTGCTGCACATGAGTGAGTGCGGGGCCTGGTTTATCTGCCCCTCAGGCTGGGGAAAGGCTTGCTTTCTCCAAGGCTTTGCACTCAACTCCCCTAGGCGGTCTTGGTTAGGTGCCCTCACTTCACTTTCCTCCAAGGACCTCCCAGTCTTGCTCTGAGTGGGTGGTAAACAGTCTTGCTTGGGTGCAGCAGCTCCACTGTTGAGCAGCAGAGCCCTTCTTGCTACTTCCTCCCTCTGGCCAGGAAGGCTCGGATGCTAAGACCACCAAGGCCGCTCCTGTCATTGCAGCCCTGAGCCTCCTGTTTTGCACAGGGGGAAACTAAGGCCTAGTGGGGTGGTAAACAGTACCCTGGGGCCCCAGATTAAAGACGTGATGCTGGCTCCATTCAGAGGTTCCCTCCAGGCCGGAAGGACCCTGCCTCCCCTCCCTGCTCTCCCCGGAGCATCAGCGGCGCCACCCGCTAACGGGAAAGCAGCGGCGCAGCACAGACTTGACTCATTCCGAACGTTTACAGAGGGTCACTTATTAGCCGGGACGTCCCGAGAGGCGCTGGGGGCGTAATAGGTTCCAGCTGTGGCCGGGTGCCTGCGATGGGTCGACGCCCAGCCAGAGCAGGAGGGGTGCGGAGGGGGAGCGGGAGGGGCGCGTCCCTGGCAGCCGGCCCTCTCCTCCTGCCTCTGTCCCCTGCGCGCAAGGGAGGATTGCAAGCAAGGGCCGCCCCGCCTCCACGCAAATGGAGCGGGGGAGGGGTGCGGGGCTCTGCTAACCGTGCAAGGAGGTCTGTGCTGACCCGGGCTTGCATCCCTTGGGATCCCACCCAGGACCGCCTCCTTCCCCATATTTAAGTTTGCCGTCAGTGGGGAGTGGGTTGGGGGTGTTTCCAGCGTCTGCCCCTCAGGCTCTGTCCATTGCTGCCACCAGTGGCTCCCCAGCCTGGGTGGGTCACCACCTCTAGGGCCGGGATCTTTCCTATCTAGCCTGGCTCTGGGGGAAGGTTCTAGCAGGGCATTGGGGAGCCTGGATAGCCTCTTACAGGGAGCCGCAGACTGTGCGAAGGACACCACAGCTGGGCAAAAGGGACTTCCATGGTCACTTTCCTAAAAGACCCAAGACCCAGATGCGCTGGGCCATGTTTGTTTCTTCCTATAGCCCACAATGTGTTTCTCAGCTCAACGTATGCCAAAGACCCCCGGGAGGAGTCCACTGTGAGTAGCCCATGCCTCTAGATCTCACTCCAAACGGGTACCTTTGAAGCCCAGCAGGGAGATTCATCACTCCGCCCACTCTTGGTTGTGTGGAGGGAGGCCCACCTAGGGGGCTGGCATCTTTACCTCGCCCTCTGGGTCAAAGCAGGGCTCCCTTCTAAGGGAATTGAGGAGGGGTTCCTCACGGTGCCATCAACACACCACGGACATATCTTGCCCATCCGGGAAAGTATGAAGTGTGGGTGATATTACAGGCCATCCTGGGTTCCAGAGCCCCAGGGGCTGTTGCTGAGTGAGGGGTGGGGGTCAAGTCTGAAAAGGAGAGAGACTGGGCCGGAGAGAGGCCTTGCACCGGTTGTCTGTCCACCAGCCCTAGCCCCATGGGAATGGAAACTGCTCAGGGCTTCCTTGAAGTTAACTGACCCCTCTGTGCTCTGGAGCTGGGGAACCTCACACTGCACTTTTGCCCTTGCCTGGAGACTGATGGGAGCAGGGAGCTCTGGGGGTGCGGTATGTATCCTCCCCCATTCTGGATCTTGACTCATACATGGAGGGGGGCAGTGGTTGTTGCGGATGGGGAGACAGAGCCCAGGGGCTCCATTCACCAGTGTGGATCCATATCCAGGAAAGGATGGGCTCTAACACAGGGTGCTGTCCTATTCCCCAACCCTGCCCCACAGGCATAACCCTTCTACTCGCGGTCCTTCAGATCTGAGATGGGGAGCACCCTGAACGGGAATCCAGGCAGCATCTGAGCACAAGCGCTGGTGAGGAAGGGTGGAGACCACCTGAAGGCCAGACTCCGGAGTACAAGGCCTTTTCCAGCTTGTGGGGCATGGCTGCTGTCTAGGTTGAGCAGAGAAGAGTCAAGTGTGTCCACTGCAGGGGGCTTCTTTCGGAGTTTGGGGGACTTCTCAGCGCTGCTTCAAACAGTGGGGACAGAGTAGGGCATGCAGCCCC